ATTCTGGTGAATTCATTCCAGTTTGATAATACCATAAGGGCGGAATAACTTCAATCTGTGCATCCAGAAGGAAGATTTTTATATACACGCATTTTTTTTCATGCCCAAGAACATGAAGAAGACTAAGAAGATTAATAATTTTGATGTAAATTTTGAATAATTTGATGTAACACGTAAATTGAGAAATCATAAATACAATAATTAAATAATTAGAATTTTTTAAAGACAATGTGTGTGTGAAATAGGGGGCATATATTTATATATTCTTATCGGGTCGGGAGAACAATTATTATTTGCCTTTTTCTTTATTCTGATAAAAATCATTCTCGCTCCAAAATTTTGACCTTGAAAAAGCTCTAATATACAGTGAAATTTTTTTTTTAGAAAATGTCCGGTAAATATTTATTACGAACTTTTAATGTGTAACTACTATAAATAAAGTCTGAATATATCAGATGTACAAAAGGTTACATGTAATTTATAGATGCGATATCATAATTCACGTGTTTAGTAAACATTCAAACTACGATTTAGCAAAACGTAAGGAATAACAAATGTATTTTTAAACTATATAAAGCCTGAATTTAAAAGGTATTCCGTTTAAATTTCTTTCGTCAGTTTCACTTGTACATGTACACCATTCGATACACTGAAAATCAATTCAACACTCTTTTCTTCCTCTTCTTTTTTGTTTTCTCGTCATAACTTACGAAAAATAAATGCCTTATTACCCGCTGTTAAATAGTTTGAATTTCTCGGGATAGAGAAATCAAGGAAATCAATTATTCATGTACATGTAAATCTACGTCTAATAAACAGTTTAATTTCAGAAAATTTATCAATGTTCTCCATAATGTCACTGTTTACATGTACAGTGTACATGTCCGCATCGTCGCATAAACAACAATGATCGATCCACAATACCATTACTGTATTGGAATATACAAGGGGCGGGGCTTACTGGCGGTGAGATTAAAGCGGGGTCCGCTTCACGCATCAGTTCGTAAAGCGGTCCCAGGAAGCGAACACCGGGTTCGCTCTAGCGGACCCAGAGCTGACCCCGAGCGAACGCGGAGCGAACCCGGAGCGAACCCAAAGCGCACCCGGAGCGGTCCCAAAATTTCTGAAAGCGAACCCGAAGCGGACCCCGAGCGAACCCGTGAAGCGTACCCGGGGTCCGCTCCGGGTTCGCTCTGGTGTTAGGTTGTGTCCGGTCGGTACTGTAAGCTTCACCACGCAAGTGAGTTAAGGCTAAATATGTATATTTTTATGCAAATAAGCTAACGAAAATTCATAATTTGTATATTTTATGTACAGAAAAGGTTCAAATTGATTTTCTGATACATACTCAGTACCCACAGTTTATTAATGCAAGTGCACATTATGACGTCATATTATGACGTCATTGTTCTCTCCCATTCAAGGTATTAAATCATATAAACAAAATCACGTTGGCGCAAGGGCCTATCCTATCTAATTTAAAATAAACAATGTATAATATTAAGGTGAATATTCTAAAAATTAATAAAATTGCTGCACAAATCCAAAACACTTTCTCAATTGATAAAAATTTGAGGAAACTTACCCTGGACAGTGAACTTTTACCCTGTTAAAACTTAAAACTGCACGTATAGTAAGTAACCAATTGCACTGCCGACATTTGTGCAGCAAAATCTTGAATCCTTGGAATATTCTGCGTCTTTTGATACCTTGTTTCCGTAAAACAAAGTAAGGTATGCCCTTGCGCCGAAGCGATTTTGTTGATGTTTCTTTTAAACTTGTGTAGTACAGGTCGATGACGTCATAATATGACGTCATAATGTGTACTGGCTATCTCATGTCGTGTGTACCAAGAATGTATTAGAAAACAAGTCTTAGCATTTTCTGTGCGGTAGTTAGAGCAATTATGGAATTTAATTATATATTTTGTATAGAAATTTCCATATGTAGCCTTAACTCACATGCGCAACTTCATTCGACATGGTTTTCATAATTTGACAATTATATACATGTACTAGTTTTCAAAATTGATTCTAAAATAATCATGCCACAGTAATGTATTCAAGTAAAACTGATAACAAATAAAGGATGAATGAACCTTTTCTCAAAAATAATATATTATTCAATGTATTGCATTCATATGTATTCTTTGTGTTTAATATACTTAAACATAAATAGTCAATATTGATGTCTCTCTTCATCGAAATCTGGAGAAACGAAGCAGATTAAAAATACAATTATAGTGAAAATTATCAATTTATTTCTCGATAAGTTTATCTGAGGTACGGTGGTATATTTAGGACACGCAATTATTTTTTTTTAATACCAGAAAAAAATTATCTTGTGAAAACCACTTATCATCTTGTGAAAACGAGATATTATCTTGTGAAAACGACTCCTTATCTTGTGAAAACGAGATAATATCTTGTGAAAACGAGATATTATCTTGTGAAAACGAGATATTCTCCTATGAAAACGAGATATTCTCTTGTGAAAACGAGATATTATCTTGTGAAAACGAGATAATATCTTGTAAAAACGAGATAATTATCTTGTGAAAACGAAATAATATCTTGTTAAAACGAGAAAATTTCTTGTGAAAACGAGATAATATATCTTGTGAAAACGATATATTATCTTGTGAAAACGATATATTATCTTGTGAAGACGACTTATTATACTTAATTGTTTTCACAAGATAATATGTCGTTTTCATAAGATATATTGTTTTCACAAGATAATATGTCGTTTTCACAAGATAATATCTCGTTTTCACGAGATAGTATTCCGTTTTCATGACATAATAGAAAACTCGTTTTCACAAGATATTATCTCGTTTTCATAAGATAACATCTCGTTTTCACAAAATATTATCTCATCTTCACAAGATAATAGAGAGGTTGAGATTTCATACGTGTACGTGTACGTGTACGTCTAGTAGGGGAATCCCCTAAATTCCTCGCGTATTACGTCATCAGTTTTAGTGATGATAAGTTCTCTACACGTTCCTGAAACTTGTAGGGCGGCGTCTACACGTAAGTACAAACTTGTAGCTTTTATAAGAAAAATACGTCTATTCATGTATGAAATTTTGATTGTTATACTTTATTCGGGATATTTAGTTTCATAACTACGTGTTTTAAAGTTGTTTTATTTACAAACTCAAGTCAAAATGGTGTCATAAAACTTGAATGTTGAAATAAAGACCCCGATCACCTCTCACTAAATGAAGACACGTTTAGCAGGGATTTTATTACTTGTATGAGGTTTACTTTTCATTTTTTTTTTATTATTTTACTATTCAGTTCCAATTATCTCCTACTTTTTAAAAATACCAATAAGTTAAGTGGCACTAGAGGGGGGTGGGGGTATTTATTACTGATTTTTTTTCGCGAAGCAAAACATCCAAACAGGAGTTAACTTTCCCAACGTTTAGTAATTAAACTTAAAATTATATTTATCTCTTACCTCCTGGTAAACAGTGAAACTTTGATTGGCCAGGACCTCAAACTCTAAAAAAAAAGGGGGGGTAACAGTTTACTAACTTGCGTAGCTGTCGCACACTTAGAAAGCGCATCGTATTTTCATACTACAGTACATTAATAGAAGCTTTCCGGAATATATCGAATATGGATCATATACATGACATATATACTTAAATCTTTTCAAAGGTAACATTTCAAGTTCAATTTCTAAATGTACTTTTAAGTAAAATGGTTTCCACGATTTTTTTTCAGCCGATATTGGGCCTGTTATATGTACATTCAGTCAATCACGTGCAAAAAGGTGTATATCTAACCATGGATTCGGGAAGGAAAAAACAATTTAGGTTTTCAGAGCAAGACGACATAAAACTTTTGAGGTAAGAATTACTTAAAGTTAAAAAAGAAAACAATTCAAGTTTCTAACGAACAGAAAAAACATACCTAAGTTTTACTACTGTAACATTTTAGACAAATGTCAAAGATGTGTTTTACCAAAATTTTTATTTTTACCCTTGAAATAATTTTTCTACCGTATTTATTTAAGTTTCTAATCTATGTGTTTTTTACTTTCACTAATTTTTTTAAAAAGGAATTGATAAATGTAATACATTGTCTGAAAAATATAAATATATATTTTTAAAGTTTTAGTTAAGTAAATCATTTTTTTTTTGTTCTAACTTGTCTTTAGAGAGGTTATCAGCAGGAACCCTTTCAAAGAAAGGGGCAAATGGGCAGATATTTCATCAGTTATGTCCCGGAATATCGATGCACGAAGGGTTAGAGAAAGGACTCTTCTTCTTATAGACCAAAGGAAGAAGTTTAACAGCTCCTCTCTCAAAAAGTATGCAGCAAATTATCTAAATTAAGCATGTTAAGAATGTACATTGTTATTATGTAATAAGCTTGTCTTTATTCCTGTTCATTTCATACCTGTAATGTACAGAACTTTAGAAGTTCTACGTATCTAAATATATTGTTTCTTAACTCAGAATTTGAATTTACTTTTTAGACTTTAATTTGAAATCATTAACACATTGTATTTTTGCAATGTTATTATCACTGTAGATCTGGTGTAGATGAAACCTATGGAGAGAAAGAAATGCTTTTGGATGAAATAATAGAATTAGCGAACGATGAAGAGGAGAAAAAAAGGGAAGATAAATCCAAAGCAGTAAAAGAAGAGAGCATGTGCAAGAGTCTTCGTAAACGGGCACTCGAGAACCTGACACCATCCAAAAGTGGTGAGGTTTTTTTTCAGAGAGAGAGAGAGAGAGAGAGAGAGAGAGAGAGAGAGAGAGAGAGAGAGAGAGAGAGAGAGAGAGAGAGAGAAATGACGTAATTAATATATTTTTTGTTTACATGCGCATACAGTTCTTGTAACTTTATTTCATATAATTAAGATAAATCTCTGTGAACGTTGCCATTTACATATAGTTGTGTTTTACATAATTATTTCTTCCGTTCAAATCCAAGGATAAATTCATACTAGCTAGTTGCTTTTGATATAAAAGTCCATTAACTGAAATAACTTTAAAAATGGTATGTTAACAATCTTTATGTATGATCACTAAATTTTTGCGAGACTGACGTCTCACATTTACTCTTTTGACAAACTTTTAGCAAATTGAAGTAATTGCTGTATAAATTTTTTACTATTTTACGAGAATTAATTTCTTGCAAGGAAGCTGGTTAGAGCCAGGTAAAAATATTCTGGCGGCCGCCACTTAAATAACTGGCGGCACCCATATAACTTCTGGCGGTCCCCAAGACCGCAGGTTAACTATTCAATCTACATATATGTAGTTAATCTATTTATCGGCGGCCGCCAGCTAAAATATTTTTCTACCTGGAACCTACCGACTTTCTTAGTCTCGCGTAATCACAAGGTAAAAAAATCTCTTGAATGAAAAATTATTTTCCGTTGATGATATATGTATGTCTTAATCGATTATTTTGTTTTGATTTTTACTTAGACGAGGACCAGCGAAATAACAGTAAAATGCCTAGAAAGTGTTCAAGTGTGATATCCTTTTTGAAAGAAAAAGCAGAGACGGAAAAACAATCCAGAGATGAGGAATTTTCACTCCGTCGAGAGCAGCTAAATTTGGAGAAGGAGCGGTTTGAACTGGAGAAACAGGAGAGGCTTCAAAGATTGGAGACTGAAAAGCAGCAGACCACAATGATGTTAGAACTTTTCTCAAAATGTTTAAATAAATAAATGGATTATCTTAAGCATTTACCTAGCTTTTCTCAAAATATTTATATAATTTATATTTAAATAGATCATCATAGGAATTAGCTAGCCATGTAATAAAATACGATGTAAATGCTTAAAATTTCCTTGATGTTTTTAAAACATGAACAAGAAATCAATAAAAAGCATAACAACGAAAGAATTTTATTTCAATATACATACATTGTTTTAGAATAAATAGAACCATGTAACCGTTCGTAAAATGTACAGCGATATCACATACACTTTATGCCATGTATTCCTCAAGTGTAGGAGGTGGAAGATTAAAGTACTCGCTCGTAACACTACCATACAGACAGGTGTGGCAATTTGTGAGCAATGATGCTACAAGATAGTACTTTGCCACAGGTTGTAAAAATAGTTTCTGATTTTTCTTATAGTCAACGAAAGCAAACAGAGAGAGGATTTTTCCGAATGTCCATTCAACGCTAGAACGGAGCTTTGACATTCTACAATTAAATATTCTTTCCTGATTGCTGAGAACAGCTCCTTTGAAAGGTGTGATAAGGTGCACACGCAACGGATAAGCAAGATCGCCGTAAAGAGAAAATACTGTACCATCGTTCATTGTCATGCATTGTTCAAGTTTTGGAAGTAGTTCACTCATACGTAGCATCGCAGAATCATGGCGCTTTGCCTCTATAGGGCCATACATGTTTGCGATTAAACCATTAGGTATGACTACAGATTGAAATTTTAATCCATGCACCCTTTTGTGTCCACTGTAGACTAAGTTTTGGTTCGTCGAAGGTCTACATATCGGCCTGACGGTTCCATCTATGAAACCCCAGGTTCCATCTATGAAACCCCAGCAGTTGGGGAGAGGTCCACCAATATCTGATATGGCATCAGCATACATTCGAAGGTGTTCTTCGTCCAGCCAACTTTGATTCAGGTCACTAAATTTACCCGAATGTTTGTGGTACAAGTAATCCAAAACAGTATTTGAAATGTATGAAAGTTCTGACTTCGAACGGTTGAACAATGGTTTCATGTCATCAAGCCTATTCGGATATGACAAGCGCCGAAGCAGTATCATGACACCCTCTGTAGAAGCCACCCGAGTACCATTCGGGCATACGAATTTGTCTGGAAGGGACAGTGCCTCGCAAAGTCGAGAAATATCATTCTTTTGAAATCGAAAGAATGAATAAAACGCTTCTTCAGATAAATTTTCTAGATTTAGCTGTTGACTTTTGACATCGTCTTCCTTAATTGTAGAGATGAGCAGCAAATCATCGTCTTCACATAGACAAGCAATTTCCAAAGCATCTGCCATTATTTACGGAAACGTCATAGACGAAAATGACGTCATTTCTGAAGACATCGAAAATAAAGTGCGCGAAATAATCGTACACGTTCTCGTTACACGTCATTAAAATCTCAACAGACAAAATACGAAAACGTGTACGTGTACGTCTAATTATCCGTACACGTACACGTACGCGTACACGTTTAAAATCTCAACCTCTCTAATATATCGTTTTAACAAGACATTATTTCGTTTTCACAAGAGAATAAGTCGTTTTCTCAAGATATTATCTCGTTTTCATAAGATAATATCTCGTTTTCACAAGATGATTTCTCGTTTTCACAAGATAATATCTCGTTTTCACAAGATAATTTCTCGTTTTCACAAGATAATATCTCGTTTTTCACAAGATATTATCTCGTTTTCACAAGATAATATCTCGTTTTCACAAGATAATATCTCGTTTTCACAAGATAATATCTCGTTTTCGTAAGATAATAAGTCGTTTTCACAAGATAATATCTCATTTTCACAAGATAATATCTCGTTTTTACAAGATAATTTTTTCTGGTTTAAAAAAAAAAAATAATTGCGTGTCCTAAATATACCACCGTACTGAAACTAACAGTGACATGTGTTAAGCTATATATAAAATCTAAAATACAAAGTTTGGAATATTTCAATATATTCTATATTTTTAAGGTTGAGTATTAAATTCATTGTATCAAATTAAAAGTTATTTAATAGATTGTTAGCTTCTGTATTTTCAGTTTTAAAAAATGGTTCTTTTAAAAGGATTTGAATATCATTTTATTTATCCCTTTGTTTGTATCTCCTTTTTTTAGCTATCTGAAAATCTGTCTCTGGCTTCACGATACTCCCTTGACTAGATAGAAAACACAGTAAAACTTTAAAAATTACCATTTATATAGCACAAGAGCATATATAGATATTTTGACAAGTGATATCTCATTGTTCAGGAAAGATATATGTGTGTTTCTCTTAGATATAACTAGCAATTTCGAAATTTTTTATCATTAAGGTTTGCAACTGCGACGCTTAATGATACACCGGTGTGTATCATTAAGCGTCGAATATGTCGATATTTGCTTGTTGCATTAGGCGTCGGTGTTGCACTGCATTTGTGACGCTTAATGATATAATTCTGTCATTAAACGGCGATTTATCATTAGCGGTTGATGATGTCAGCTATTAATGCAATGACTTATGGCATTTAACGTTGCAATTGCAACGCTTAATGCTATTTGTATCATTAAGCGGCGTTTTATCATTAGAGGTTGCTACAGTGCCCAGACTCACAGTTTTTTGGTCCAAAATATACATAATATTTAATTAAATCATTTTTTGTGTGGCTTTGGGCCCCTACCCAACGTTCACATGCTTTTAAGCATAAGTAAGTAATAACATTTAAATGCTATCAGCTATCAAGCATTTACAAATTATCAGAGAAAAGTTCTCATTTGCCAACCCCGAACTTACGGCTATTTTCGGATTATAGAGTATTGTGCCATTAGTGGCCGTCCAAATTCACATGCAGTGCGTGTATTTTTTTTGTGTTTTAGTAAACTTTATGTGCATACTAATCATATACTATTATGTATTATAATTTGGTCTTCATTTCAATAATATAGGAGGGGTGAATCAAAGATGTTTTTGACATTTATGCAATTAAAACTGCATAAAGAAAATGATTGCAAGTTCTTTAATCATGATAAATCCTTAAAAAGAATAGATAAAACATGAAAGAAAATACTCATAATCATTCTTTGTGATCTTTCATTCAATGTCTGTAGTTTTTTTATAGACATTAATGTATCCGCTTATAATTTGTGCTTTTAATTTCTCAATGCATTTGATTTTATAATCAGACTTTTTAAAAATGACACAGCGTTATAGAATGATTAATGTACCAAAAAATTGAAGTTTTCACCATCAATTCTTATTAGTCAGTAATGCGATTACTTATGTGAATGTTTTTATTTGATGTTGCTTTTCTGTGAATTCTTGGATCCACGCTTCGGCTGCAGAGGATCTTTACACACGCGCTGACCTAGTTAGAAGATTCTATCGAGTTCTGGCCATCATTTAGGTAATAGCCAAAAAGACTTTACATATAAGAACATACAGTGTATATTTTGGAAAACCCCATTATTCAGGCGATTGTGTGTGTTGGTCTCTGTATGATTTCTTTGCAGCTTGTTTTCTTTATCAATAATAAGACAGATCGCTCATTGTTTACATCTCTATATTTAGAAAACTAAAAATGCATCATCGCGTCAAACTGAGCAGTCGGTGATCTTCGGGTGGCCTCGCACTTTTTGAATATAGCGTAGTGGAGTCAGCCGAGGATTGCAGACTGAAAAATCGCTGCTTACACTGGGACTTCACATCAGGAAATCAAACTTAACGTGTCATCTCTCGTGAGAGATGACAATAAGCATCGTACTTCTTTTCTAAATTTTCCTTGGCTTTCAAATAAGCCTAAATCGAAAGTAGATCACACACTTCTTAGCTAGTTCTTCTAAAAGAAAACCAGTTTATAGGCTACTTGGAACTCCTTGTGTAGATTCTCACTTGAGATATTGTAAAACATGGAGGATTCCCGATGAATTAATGGAGGCTTACACTAGGACTTCACTTCCGGCATACAATCTTAATGTGTCATCTCCCGAGGGAGATGACAACAAGGCTCATATAGATGATCCCTACTCCACAGCCATAAAGACGCTCTGAGGAAAGTTCGCAGCATAGTACAGCAAACGCTTCGGGATATGTAGGACTCCTGGCTGAATGCTAAAGCTGACGAGATCCAACGCTACGCCGAATCTCATGACAGGCCCAGAAGAACTTTTACTGTGGACTTGGGGAAGTCTACGGGCCAACTCCATCAGGCTTATCCCCTCTCCTCAGTGATGACGGGTTAACACTCATCACAGAGAAGGAAAAGATACTCGACAGGTGGGCTTAACATTTCAATGGCGTTCTGAACCATCAACGACGAAGCCATCAACAGACTGCCCAGGTTCCCATCAACCAATCACTGGACACTGGACTGGATTTACAAAGAAGGAAAACTCCATCATCTACTTGTGAGAGAATCGGCCTGACCAGTCACCTCCGCACCCACTGTCCAGGTCATCCCACTCCCCCCACAAAGATGAGACAGTTGTCATCGTCGTTACCGACGGACGAATAACTAAACTAGTATATGAGTGTTGGTACTTATCTTTTTCTTTATATAAATTTTTTAGGTACATGTTATTGTTGAATAAAAGTGGTAAAAATATGCAATTTTGGTTAGAATTAAGGCTAGTAACTCAGTTAATGCTCTTTTAATATGTTCATCATATCTCGGAGAAATTCTGGTAGAACTTTCTATCATGGTTGGCAACTGTGTGACAAATACTTTGCAGGCTGCAAATATATTTAGCTCAAAATACCTAATTTGAGCAAATAAAGGGCAATAACTGTGTCTCCAGCATTGAAGCCACAATAGATTTGATGCTATCATACATTTTCTCACAAGTTAGGTGTATACCTTACCAAATATCACTAAAAAGTTTATTCACCCAAATTGGTACCCACCACCCCCTGTGCCTCATGGACTATTCAGCTCTTTGAACACAAATACCCTGATTCCAACTTTTGAGGTAAACATCATAGAGACATCATAGATGACTATCAGAGTGTGTATCACAATCTTTACCATAAGGTCAATTAAAAATGGTCTAAGGCACAACAAATGGAAATGGGAATTAGTTTGACAGAATACATAATTTTATAATAAACAAACACTGGAAATTTACT